ATACTATTATAAGCTTTCAATTGGCTTGTAAAACAACATGGTAAAAACAGTGAAAAATTAGATCTGATATGAAGTTAGCTAAATAGTTTTCAGGAGCACTATTTGAAATCTATATCTACTTCAATTGTTGTAAATAACAAACCTTACCCTAAACATATCACATGCTTTGGAGTTATAGTCAGTTTACTGAGAAACCATCATGTAACTTTATAATTTCAGCAAGTAAGTTTTCCAATAATTTACAAAATTTAACAAAATTGAATCTAAAACATTTGGAATATTCTTTTGAATTTTTTTATTTTAATAGTAAACACAAAGTCACATATTACTTGGGAAAATTTGTCTCCTGCCATGGAAAAATGGCTAAAGTAATATGTGGAAAAAATAAAGTCATAAATCAAATTGCATTCTTTGCTGGCAAATTATGTCAGAAAGAACAAAGAAATAACTGCAGAATGTTTGTGGAAAGGCTATTGGAACAAATTAAGTAGCAAAAGGTTTGGGAATATTAGAATCAAATTATGGACATTTCTAATGTCCTCAGTTCATAATATTCCCTATTTCTGTTTAAATGATAAAATACTTAAGAGAATTACTATTTTGAGCAATTGAGAAAAATGTACCAATGAAAACAACCTCAATATTAAGTGATTTGTTTAATTAAGGTGCACATATATTTTCAGATTTTCTATCAGTGCATTATAGTTAACATAATATTGGGGTTCATTTTGACATTATTAGGCAAACATGGAATTTAATTTGCTCCAATTTATTCCCCAGTATTTCCCCTTTCCCTTATGTCCTTTTTCCCCATTTCACTTTCCTCTATTATACTGGGATTTTATTTATTTATACTTTTATTTATAGTTTTTTCCTTTTTTTAATTAGTGAAAAATAGTATAGAGATTCTCCAAAAAAACTAGGAATGGAGCCACCATATGATCCAGCTATCCTACTCCTTTATATGTATCCAGACCTAAAATCAGCATACTATAGTGATACAGCCACATCAATATTTCTAGCACCACAATTCACAACAATTAAGTTACAGAACCAGCCCAAATGCTTGTGAATGGATGAATGGATAAAGAAAGTTTTATATATGTATACATATAAATATATGTGTGTGTATATAGAAACTCCATTGTGTGAGTTTATATATACATACAATGGAGTTTCACTCAGCAATAAAAAATGAAGAAATATTGGCATTTGCTGGTTAATGGTATGGAACTGTAGAACATCACCCTAAGGGAAATGATTCAGAAGCAGAAATTCAAGTGTTCAATATTTTCTCTCATATGCAAAAGCTAGACCAAATTATTTTCTAGGGGAAAGAAAGGGGTTAGGGAATCCCATGAAATTAGAAATCAGTGGAGTAGAGCCAAGGGACTGAAGGGGCAGGAAGAGGGATGGGAAAAGAGAGAAAGAGTAGAATGAAACTGATCAAAGTATTCTTTGTACATACATGAATATATCACAGTGAATTTCACATTTATGTATATATATATTAAACATATTTTAATATCAAAACTTTGCATATTAAATATTGAAGAGTGGCTTCACTTATTTGAATTATTCTTTTTTAAACAATAAGAGTTGCAAAGGTTACATAAATAGCAGCATATGTGAAATTCATTTACTGTATCTGTTATAAATAAGCCAGGATTGTATAGTACCTCAGAATGTTACTAAAGTAGTACATTTTATACCAACAAGATCTTTCTTTGTGTTTTGAAGGTATTTTAAAACTTTGTGCTGAGATGGAAAATAACTATGAAATTATTTTACTCACAGAACTTCACTAAATTACTAATTTAATTACTAATTTAATTAAATTACTTATTTAAATTCATTAAATTAATTTAAAAGTAGCAGAATATGAAGATTTAATTAATTCAAATAAAAAGAGAAGAATTCCAAAGTTGTCCAACTTTTTGGTGATGACAAATGGTTATTGGCAATGTGCTACTTATTAGCTATGTAGGAAGAAAATAAATATTGGTTACCAGAAAATGCTGCCTGTTACATCTTTAGGTATGTTATGCAAATATTAGCTATCTCTATGAGAAAACTGTGATGTAGAAACAGCTCTTTGAAGATAAATATTTTGAAATCATCATGTTATTATGCTACATAAAATGACATTCCACTTTTAAAAGCTGTCATATCTACTTATTCAATAAATTTTAAAACATAATATTTTAATCAGCTTAAAAAATCTCCAAAATGAAGAACTCTAGAGTGGTTTTAAAAGCCATTTGTTAAAAATAATTTTTAAAAAAAAAAAAAAACACACTTTCTGTTAGTTAACAAGAACAAATGATGAGAATCAGTGAAGAATAACATTTATATGTGGATTTTTCACAACTCTTTCCATAACTGCTGTCCAAAGCTATACATGGAAATCAGATAGCAAGATTTGGTGTTTAAAAAATTTGGGTTACTTCTTCCATTTATGGAATATTCTTGTGACAATTATCCATTTTCTGCTATGTACAGTCAAAATAGTTTATACTACAATTTAACTGTGAAGTTGGATTTCAAATAATTCTAACATAAAACTTTAGACCAGGATTTTAAAAATACTAATATGTATTCAAAGTTTTTAAAATATATATATTATTTTTAATAACATTTTAATGTGAAAACATACATATATTTAAATAAATATGACAATGATGATTTTAGTTTATTTCATTGACTTATTTTCTATTCATTGTGAATGCTTTACAATATAGTAGTAAAACAGTGCAGATATTCAATTTATGAATAAATTAATACAGGTTGAATATCTGTTATACAAATAGCTGGAGTCAAGTAGTATTTTGGACTTCAGATTTTTTTGGATTTTGGAATATCTGCATATACACAATGAAACACCTTGGGTGTGGTACTTAAGTCTCAACATAAAATTCACTTATGTTTCATATACACTTATGTGCATTGCCCGAAGGTGATTTTGCACAATATTTTTAATGTCTTTGCATTTTGACTAAGACCCATACATGAGAACAGATGTGAAATTTTCCATTTGTAGCATCACTGAGTCTGAACTCACAGAGATTAATATTTTGAAACATTTTCGATTTTGGATTTTTGGATTATAGCTACTCAACTTGTACATGCATATTGAAGTTGCATTTATAATAATAAAGAGAAAATGATAAATGTGTAGAATGGAAGCAAAATTAGTGTACTTCAAAATATCCCAAGTATTTCTTAAGTTACACTTAAAATTCAGCATAGAATCATTGGGAATAGTTGAGTGATGAACTTAAATTGTTAATCCTGAAAACAAACTTATTTGAAAACTATATACTAGAGAAGTGAGAAAGAGGAGTCATGGTGATGATCAGTAATCAGATTACCCAAGTCATTGACAAAGGCCAACAAAAGCAGTAAGTAGGATAGTGTCCTTAGGACTAGGAGGGGAATGTAATAACTTCCATGTAGAGAACAAAGGGAAGGTAAGAAGAACTCAGATCACTCAACAGATTAGCACTGGAAAGCAGGTGGTAAGTGAGTAATGGTGCCTTTATTAGAATGCTGGAAGGAGAAGATGCTTCTAGAGAAAAGTGAATAAGACTCTGACATAATGAATTTGAGTTTATAGTGAGGTTTTGAAGGGAACTATCTACCTATTACTTGAAAATGCAGTTCTAACATTCAGAAGCAGAAGGAGAATGAGTAATACTGACATGTCTATTGTGAAGAAAGGGAGTAAATGTGAGAAGTGTTCATGTGGCTCTCCTGGGAGAAAGAAGACAGAACCCAAAGAAAAACTTAATTGTTTTGGGATGGGCAAAAGAAAATTCATAGAGATAGTCAATTTATCAATTTAGAATTTACCAGACTTCTTAAGAGAAAAAACTATGGGGAGTTTACTGAAGTGGGAATCAGTATAAAACATTAAATTCTGCAAAAGAGTTCGCTAATAAAAGCATCGGGAAGTGACGGCTAGAGCTAGTCATTATAATGGAGAATCTACTAAATCTGCTTTTATTTTTGGCTCTGATAACACTTATTTATATAACACAAGAATACCAGGATTCATTTAGTTAATGTGCAGTGCATCATATATTAAAGAAGGGTTAGGGTTAGCAGCCATGTATTCAAACTATAGACGAAAAAAACTTAAATCAGGGTTGTAATAGACTATAATTTATAGTTGGAGCTTTAGTACTGATAAAATAATTTCTCTATATATCATTGCTGTTAACTGTGAATTAAATTATTCCATTAGATGGTGTAAGAACTTTTGTAGCTCTACAAACATCAGAGCTACTTTAAAAATGATACAATTGTTTGTGCAAATACTACTTAAAGTGAGGTACTCTTAAAAGTTTCTGCTGAAGAATATGTATTATTCCAGATTGTATTTGGATTATAAATAAATCCTCAATATTAGATATACTGAACAAAATTATTAACAGAATACATAATGTTAAAATCATGGTTAAATACTAAAATAAACTACTTTATGAATAATTGTTTTTATTCTGGATTTTAGCCACACCTCTTTTGTACTTTTGGCAATCATTTTATGGATGACCATACCTTATAAGGCTTTCAAGTAGGAAGAAACTTGTAGCCTTTTGAAAACCAAGTGACTAAATGAATAGAAACATATAAAGACACATAATTTTACATTGAAAGGAAATATTGACATGTCTATTGTGAAGAAACGGAGTAACTTAAAACTATAGGAAATTTATCACTCTATATAATTTAGATAAGTTATTTGATAGACATGAGATAGAAAAACAAATCATAATTATATTTTATGTAAATTTGATTAAGCTATCTAAAGTTAAAGTAAATTTCAGCAAAAAATTATTACACTTCTCTGAAAATGTAATGCACTGTGAAAAGTCCTTCAGGTCTGTAATTATCATTGAATAATTTGTGTATTTAGTAAAAATTAGTGCATTTTGTAAATAATTGGTATATGTATATAAACACAGGAGACTAAGCAAAGTTAGAAAAATATAACTTACTGTTTTTTCTTTCCCAGGTTCCACCTGATCAGATTTTGTGATGCCTGCTGCTTGTGGCTGTTCTTTCATTTTTGCAGTTATTTTAACTTCTTCCTTGGGCAAACTCTGTGTACCAGGTGGCAAATCTTCCATTTGGGCCTGTGGTTGCTTTTCTTCTTGGACTGCCTCTGGAGACACTCTGCTTTCATGTGTTTCTTCAGCAGTCTGTCCTTCAGCTTTGAGTACCTCATGTTTGTCTTTCTCTTCTACAACCAATGATTTTGCTTCTGGGGGTAACTTATTGTCTTCAGAGGTTGGCTGCTTTTCCTCGGGGATTAATACTTTTTCTTCTGAGAGGGGTTTTTCTTCTTTGGAAGGTAGCTTTTTTTCTTGAAGGGTTGAAACAACATCTTTCTTTAGTTTACTCTCTTCTTGTTTTTGATCTGTGGTTCCTTTAGGCAGAATTTTTTCAATTGAAGGTATTTCTTTTACTTTTTCTGGAATAAGTTTTTCAGCTTCAACTTTTACTTCTGGTTCCTTCTTTTTTACTTTTACTTGGGCAGGCACTGCTGTTTTCTGAGATGGTGGTTCTGCAAGGACAGGTACCGGAGAGGCTTTGGATCCTGCTGGTATGCTTGGTGTTTTGCCCATGTCTCCTAGCTGTCCTGATATTGCTCTCTGGGTTTGGCAATTTAAACAAAGCCATTCTTGAATCTGCAAATAAAATAGAAATGAACAGATTGACTATAATGTATCTGTTTCAGTGTAATTATGCAGGTGAAAATTTGGCAATGCATGGTTGCTTTTTTTTTTTTTTTGGTATAAGAAGAAGGTAGGTCATTGTTTTCTAAACCAATGAAACAGCGACTTTTTAAAAAGAGTACAGACTACTTGAGTTGTAAAAATAGGCAAAAATATCTAGATACTAACAATTCACTATGCTCACCATAAATGAGAAAGCAAAACAAAATATAAAACAAAAAGAGTGGAAAAAAATGCACTAGAGATGTCCCAGGGCAATCTCCATGTTTGAGGGGTAGAGATGGGGAGAAATCTGTATGTTAAAAAAATTATTTTTTTTTAAGTTTGGTGTCTTCAAAATTATAATTTCATCATGAATTTATTCAAATAATATTACATTTTATGGTAATTTCCTTTTAACAATCAATTAATCAAAAGTCATTATTGGATATAGCCTATCATCTCCTAACTCTTGGCATGGGCCAAATACATTTCTACCTACCAGAGTAGAACTTGACAAGTACAGGTCAAATTTAAGAACCAATTGTGCATAAATATCTACCTGATTTTGAATTAATAAAATAACCTTATTATTAACACAAATCACATTTCCTCATGAAATTGAGCAAACAGAATTCAATAGCTCAAACTGTTAGTTATCTTTTCCCCAGAATATTCTGATCTGCTGTCTGAAACATTTCCATCTCTTTGCTCTTCAGCATGTAAACCAAAGCCACCTGCACCAAATCAACTGAGGTTCAGACATACAGTTTCCTAGCAACCACTCCAAAACTATTTAAGCAGAATCCTGAAAGTGGAAGAAAAGTGTGTCTACTTTTTTGACAAATTGTCAAGTTAAAGTTTTTGCAAATAAAAACTGAAAACCATTAATAAATAAGAATTCTTGACAAATGATCACACAAGGAACAGATGATGTTAGACTGATAAAATTACAGAAATTCATGTTGTACTTTTTCCTACATGATACCATTCTAATATAAGAAATAAAGGCTATACATGTATCTACTTTCTAATTATTACCATTTGATGAGTACCCATTTTATAAGACATGGGGGTAATGGATCTACAAATATTATTGCATTCCTATATTGCATTGTCTCTTGAGAAGGTCAGTTTCAAATTGCTTTTCAGATTGGCATACTCTTTCTAGGAGCTTAGCTTTATTTAGAGACAAAAAACACTTACTGTTGTAGAATATTACTAAAGATCTGTTTCATTACTTATTTCAGCTTCCAGTATCTTCAGACAGTGTTACTTAATATCTGTGACTGTTTTGAAATCTCTAAACCACCATATTTCTTATTTGATGATTAAAAATTGTAAAGACAAATGTCAATTCTTTAACCTCAGCAAAAGTTTATATAAAACATTGGGGTGTATTATGTATTTATTTACTTTTTTTTAGTTATAGGTATACACAATACCTTTATTGTATTTATTTTTATGTGGTGCTGAGGATCAAATCCAGTGCCTCACACATGCTAGGCAAGCGCTTTAAGACTGAGCCACAACCCCAACCCCTCATTAGCTTTTCATGTGTGTGATCAACCCATATCAATTCGCTCCTTAATTTCATATCTAAGCATCTCTGAAGGAAACTGTCACTTCTTTATATAATGACTTTGTACACAAGTCATAGGAAAGAAACTTATTTGATCCTTTATGTCAAATACTAAAAGTTCCAGTCCTGTGTTGAACTGTCCCTGAAGCAGGCATCTCCACAATACCTACAGAAAACCAGTCATCACCTGTGCTGCAGCTTTGAAAACCATTACTGAATTAAGCCAAGTCTTAAGATATTTTCATTCAGTGTATGACTTTCTTAAAGACATAACAGATACAAATAGCTATAGCACAGTGCTATTTTGTCACATGGATTCTGAAAAACACATGCAGGTGTCCTGAGCATTCCCATCAGGCCATGTCCTAATCTAAGTCAGTCAGAAACTTTTAATATACCAGAAATACAGCTTCTGTCTATTAGAAAACTGAAAGAACACTCATTTTCAAGTGATTTGAAATCGAAGTAAAAGGATAAAAGGTATAATATACTTACTCTATTTTGTCATTATCAAGTGCTTCACTTTCCTAATGTAATGTAATGCTTGGTAAACTATAAAGTGGTGATAATCACCATGTAACTAAGGCCTGTCATATGGACAGAAGGCAATGGTATAAATTCAAGACAAAGGGGTGTCATTCAGAGATCTTCACTGGCTATTTTGATTTAATGTTTGGCTAAAATTCCTATCCATAGGAATTTAGTTAAACCATATAGTTTTAATCATTGCTATTTTATAAGTACTTTTAACATTAAATTGCCATATTCTTAGTACCTTGAGTATCTGAGTGGTTTACATTGCTAATAAGGAAGCCAATCCTAATTATTTTCACTATATTTTGACTGGTTGTAATTAGAATTAATTTGGAAATTGATGTTTCTATCATGTCACATAAGGACAACATAATTCATTCCTGTACCTATCTATTCTGTACATATTTATTTTCTTTATATCTACTGAATACATACATCATTTGGGAAGTGTATTTGCAAGGCTTATTGTATCAGTAAACTTACATTCAAGGAGAAGAAATAAAGCATGATTAAAAAAATTACAATATGCAATAAAAAATAAATAGGCAGGAGAAAGATACTGTGTTGCAATGCAGAGTGAGGGAGATACCATTTCTAGCCACACATTTTCCAAGATTTGACCTTAAAATAGATAAATGAAATAAATTATGAATGTTAAATAATTTTTGTCAAAATAATTTATTGTCACCATTTGACTATTTAAGATAACAAAAATACTGACTGCAAAACAATATTTATATTCAGTAGCAATCAAAGATAATAACTTCAGGGGAAGGCCTGATTATTTTATTCACATTGAAATTCAACCACTACAGTAAGGGATGGGGCATATCAAAATATATGTAAATGCTTCAAAAAAATATAATTATGTGAATACATGTGGAAATTTAAACAATAAATATATTGTTTAGGTGTAAGAAGAAAAGGATAGATAAGCTTGAAAAATCAAGTAGAGACTCTTAGCATTTATTGCAACATAAAGAAATTAGACACTTTGTGGAAGAAACTGAGATTCAGTGAAAGTTTCTGTACAAGGCCGGCTATATCAAGATCAATCATGAAGAATGTAGTTACCTAACTATTAAATCTAGAGGCAGAAAGAAACTAAAATTGTTTGAAGAAATAGAAGGATATAATGGATGCAACAGGACTGTCCAATGAATTTAGTTTGGAACCAAGGCATTTGATTAATTATAAGCCACACAAGGATAATTTTTCGACAATTAGAAATGTTGAATTGGCAGGCTTGTATATTTCTCTTCTTTTTTTCTGCAGACCTAGAACCAAAATTAGAATGTCAACCAAAATATTCCAGTAAAACTTACAATGTCAATGAGGAATTGAAAACAACAACCTATAGTAACAGTAGAAATTATATATTTCTTTCAATATATAAATTTTAATTTTGTTTTTTAAGTGGGAGCCTAGGTATATCACTGGAAAATATCAAGGCAAGGAAAAAACAAATGTCAAAATCAAAACAGCCCAAGTTTTTAACAATGAGTAGAAAAGAATACCAATAAATTTCCCTAAGAAAGTTCATTTTGGACCATAAGGGTAATCATCATTATTGTGTCATAGTTAATTACAAACAAAATTACCAGACAAGTTTCCTTCAAAAAAACTATATTTGTAAATACTGTATATCAGCATAGGAATACAAAAAGTTGTAGGTCACAAACGTGTTTACATTCTTTAATAAAAATAGTAAAAGCTTTCTGCATTACCATATTCAGGAAATTAATGAAGTATTATATTTATAGGGCCAAAATATCTCATCTGTACTTTTAGTTCCTCAATAATCCATTAACTACCACTTCTTTTAAACCAGTAGCAACTGGGAAATAAATTAATCAAGAGGAGTCCTTAAGTTTTACAAAAACTCAATGCATAATATATCACTGACATATACATCTTTCATTAGCTGAAAAGATTTATCTAAACATAGCCTCCACCCTTTCTATATGAGGAACAACTGGGAAACACACGATAGTTCATATCCTGCCTTAAGGTTAAGTATCAAATGGATTATGATTTTATCTTTGTAATATTTTCTTATCATCATTGAGATAATCAAAAGTTTTTTTTAATTTTTTATATGTGTACATGTATTTTATACAGATGTGCATATATATCAGTGTATATATGTGTAAGTGTATGTATGTATATATATACAGTGATATATACATACATATACACAGAGACATTGAAGGAATTTCTATTATATCACTGAATTTACTACATAGAGAAATACAAATTATTGAAGCTAATTGAGGTTTTTGGTTTTTTATTAAAAATAAAAAAAGACCAGTAATCATTATGGATGATCTCAGACCATTTCCATTTGTTTTTCTGTGTTTCTTAACATATATTTTGAATATACTATTATACATATCTCTTAACAGTTATAAACCTTAAAAAAGGCTATGTTTCTTCGATATTAGTTTTAGATATATTAAGCTCAAAAGTCTCCATGCTATGAAACCAAATTCCTATTTGCTCCTTTAACATTAATAACTACAATTCAAAAATTCAGTTCCAAGTAGAGAAAAAATTCTGATAAACAAATAGTGTATAAAAAATAACTCTAGGTTGATCACACCATATTCAAATATATTCAATTGCCAGCCACTGCATGATAATAAAATGCATTTATTTTAACATCAAGTCCTCAAAGCTTGCTCAAAACAAAACAGCACTCAAAAAAATCCATTAATCTTAAGAGTAGAGTTGGAAATGAAGGCAATAAAAAAACAGAAAAAGGATGCTGCTGTGCTACTCAGCATTTTCCCATCAATAAGCAATTTGCTTGGTATAACATTTTGGCTGTCACTATAGCAACAATACCATTAAGGAA